GAGCGACCTGCTGGTGCTGCTCGAGCCGGCCACCTCGGTGCGCTACGACGTAGAGACAGTCGAAGTGTACGAGCAGAACAAGAAGGAGCAGCAACTTGATGAGCTCGAACGATATCACAAGGTTTTATTTAGACAGAAGTGCGGAGATTTTTCTGAAGAATTGCCATGTTTTCCAACACCGGAGGGTGACAAGGGATGGGAGGAGGGCGGTGGGAGAGACAGAAGAGAGTGCAAAATACAAATTTAAGATAAAGTGGATTGTTTTATGCTTTATAATAAAAAGTGAAATAATAAAGTATGGCTCACCCGAGGCGCTGGTCTGATTGTTGGGAAGGAGGGGAAGGGACAGAAATTTTTGAAATTTTCAAATAGTGTTTGTTAACTTTTCTGGAATTTCTGGACTGAAAGTTTTTATTAAATTCAGAATTATTTCTAATTTGTAAGTCTGATCAGCGGTTGGTAACGCAATAAAGGTTAAGCAGCTGCGTAGCAAAAAACGTAAAATGAGTAGCGATCAAATGTCCCCCGGATAAGCTGAGTGCAGGATATCACTGCAACTACGCGAAAAAGTAAAAAATGTTAATATGCTACCTGCCTTCTTAACAACCTGTGAATAGTACTTTCGAAAATGTAAATGACCACTCGGGCTGCCTCGAAGAAATAGCGCATATATATTGAACAGGCCGGTAACTACTGACTGGAAGTGTGCAGTACGAAAATCGAAGGACCTGGGATAGCTACTGCAGACTTTTCATTAACATCACTAAAATAGTATACCAGTACAGTTATTCAGGCGATCTCAGTATTTTCGATAATTGAAATTTCCACCACTGTTTGTATGTTCTCTGAAAATCACAATTTATCATTGTATCGTCGAATTTTCTCGAGAATAATCGGCAGTAGCACTAGAATGAGCAGTATATAAGTTTTTGCTTTTGAACTGTTTCTTCGAACGATGATCCTCTCGTTTACTAATGTGTGAGTGTGTGTTTGCCGGTTTTTGATGAAAGTGTTGCAGAGGCAGTTGCTAAGTTATTGGGGTTTGCCGAGCGGTGACGATTCTGCGTCGCAGCAAAACTGGTGGGGTGCTTCACTTGTTTCGGCTATTGTAAATAATATTCAGGTTTGTTTTAAAAAAAAAAAAAACCAGATCTTTTTGTAAAATATGGATTTTCATCTATTTTTGTGCATCTCTACGATATAAAACATACGAAGGAATGATTAGGTTTGTTTGTATGAGCGTTTGTCTGGTTGTTTATCTGTCCTTCCTAACTGCATATTTAACTTCCTGAACTAAGAGAGCTAGGAAACTGGAATTTCGTAATAGACTCACGATTGCGTGCAGAATCACAGCCAGAATCAGTTTTTAACTTGCCATTACTCGTAGTTTGGAGTCCATTATATAGGGAATTCTATAAGTAGAGGGTTAAATAAGTTGGAAATTTGAAGTGTTTTGGGGCAGGGTTCCAGACCCTCCACGATTCGCTCATTCGTTTCACGGGCTGATTGGTACCGGCGCTTGTCAGGGGCGAAAGCAATCGTCAGCTTGCTTTTAAGCAACCCTTGAAATAGGGAGCCATCGAAAGTCTAATCAGTGGCGTTGATATTGACATTTACCACCACAGTAAATACGAAGGAGTTTTGGTTCCAACTTCGACATCCGTTGAATTTTATGTTGCCTTTGTACACAGTATGGGATAACTGTCATTTGGTTTGATTGAATACCATTGATT